TCTACCTATCCACATACATTTTCCCCATTTATACCTTAAATGTTAAAACTGAAATAGTGAAATAGTCAACAAGCACAGATAATAAAATATTTATATATAATCATATTTCCATTTTATATTGGGGCTGGGGTTGGGAGAAGAGGGAGAAAGATGCAGAAGAGAAGAAAAAAGACAACACATAGTGACTGATGATAAGAGCAGGGGTGAAGACCAATCCAGGTATTTCAGGGCAAGCGGAGGAGATGGCCAAGGTTCTTGTTCATCAACTAATACTACTGGATTTGTTAAAAACACAGGCTCTAACCTTTAAAGGGCAAATAGGACTATCTAGAACATATATTTTAGTTGCTATCAAAAATGTAATAATCAAGTCATAGAAATGTTCATTTTTAAGTATTTCTTATTGAATTTTTATTTAAAATTACTTTAGAAAACAATGAAAAGATAGGAGTATTACCCGAGTTAGCTGATTCGGGAGGAATCAGACATTAAGATCTTAAGGGAAACAGGTGTGAATGAACTCTGGAGCTCCAGCCCCACCCAGCAACGGAAGTCAAGGTAGGTTTTCCAGGTGAGATGAGGCTGAACAGAAAATTTGGAGCCAGCGTTACCAAGACTGTTCCAGGAGAAGGAACAGGACATTTGAAGGTTGAGGCCTGTGAGAGAGGCCCACCTAGGAACTAAAACACGTTCAGAAAGGCAGATGGATAGTCAAGGGAGCAGTGATATTGACGAGGCAGGACAGGAGGCCTAGCGCTGACCCTGAGAGACCTCGAAGGACAGTCAGGGGGAGCTGGGCAGGCAGGCGGCAGGTTCGAGAATTAGAAAGGGGCAGAATGGCCTGAGGATCCTTGTCTGCAGGCAAGACATGGAGGGGGTGCCATCCGCTGGGCCTTGGGGCGACCCTCGGAGGCGGCAGGCGCGGGCGGGTGAGGACTGGGTCTATCTCTTGCTGGGCCCCACCGCGCCCTCGTACGTCGCTCGGTTGACGGCCTGCTTGTATCCGCACAGATCTCCCCGGGGACGCGGGCTGGGCAAGCGAGCACTGTGGCAGGATCGGGTGCGGGGCTGGAGTTTTCAAATGACCATTTGGCGGTTCCAGGTTTCCGAAGGAGCCCAGTCGTTGGTCAAGGCCCCCGCGCTGCCTGGAGTCTCCCCGGAGGCCCCCGGCTGCAGAGGGGCTGGGCCTGGCCCTATGCTCAAGCCTGGCCCTCTGTCGCCTGTCAGGGCGGGGGCTGCACGGGGTCCTGCAGGGGCAGGGCGGGGCGCTGCCCGCACACTGAGGTTCGGCCGCCGAGGCCCAGGGGCGGGGGCGAGCGATGCGGAAGTGCCGGGCGGGCGGGGGACGCGCAGGAGGCACAGGTCTGGGAGAGCGCAGCTCGGCCCCGCCGCCCGGCCGGTGCTCCCGGGCGCAGCCAAGCGGGCGCACCGCAGACAGGTAGGTCCCGGCCCGCGCGCCCCGGGGGCACCTGCGGGGGGCGGACGGCGTACTGGAGCAGGGCGGGCACGCGGGAGAGTTCGGTGTCCGGCGCAGCGTGGCGCCCGAGCTCGGGTGGGCGCCTAGTGCAGGGTGCGCACCTCCGAGTGTGTGCTAGGTCCATATCAGCGCGGGGTACCCCTTATCGGCGGCCTTCGTTCCGGAGGCCCGGGCGGCAGAGTCGGCACCGCTGTCAGGGGCGCCAGCTCTTCTCTCTGTCTCTCCATCGCCAAGGATGCGGAGAGCCCGGCCCCTGGCTGGAGTCTCGCTTGGGCTGTAGAGGGGAGAGCCCCGACTCCCCCGTTCTGTTCTTTTCCCATCCCACTTCCCCGGGCACGCCTCACTCTTTCAGGCAAGAGGGTGAGGTTTAAAGAGGTCATCCAAAGGCAGGAATTTGGGCAGTGTGTGTGGGAAAATGGTGTCTGGAAGAGGCGCCGTCTTTTGACTGGTGGCCCAGAAAAGGAGGTTCTAACCCTCCTAGTAGAGAAGAACCACTGGACACAATTCTTCTTGGGCTAATTTCTTTACGTCCTAACCTCGAACTTAAAAACGAAACAATTAAAAGTGGAGGGAGAGTGAGATTGGTGTGGCCGTGACGCGGGTTCGGAGATGGCAAATACCTGCGTCGGCTGTCTCAGGGACCCCCCGGGGGGGGCGCGGGAGCCGATAGCCCGGAGCAGGGGCGTGGGGACGGGGCGCCACCAGCCGGAGGTGCTGTCCGAGAGGCAGACCGAGAGCCAGTGCGCAGGGGGTGGCGAAGCCAGCTGGCCGGGAGGCGCGGGCAACCCCCCAGGGCGGAACGAGCGGGGCCGGTCCCGAGGGCAGGAGCGCCCAGGACGAGTGAGGACGGGGGCGGAACCAAGGCAGGAAGCTAGAGGCCCTCCCGAGGGGCGGCCGGGCCAGAAGCAGAGTCCCCACCCTTTCCTGAGCTGTCTGGCCCGGGGCTCTCGGGCTCGCGGCAAGTCTAGGGGGACACTGGGAAACCACCCTTTTGGGGCTTTTCCCCTGCATCTCGGCCATTCCCCATCGTGCCGCCTGGGGCAAGCTGAAAGAGGCTTTTTCCTGACGCAGCTGCTGCCCCAGAGTCTCAGCTAGTCTCAGGGTGGGGTCAACGCACCTCAAGGGGCGGGATTTAGAGTCATGCCTGGTGCAGGAAACCCCTTGCCTTCTCCCTCGGCTTGGTGTGAGGCTTGCAGGGAGACAAGGTGAACAAACTCCAAAGGTGGCAAGGAGTTGCTGCTGCTCCCAGTATGGGGCAGGGGGAGCTGCAGAGCTTCCTCCCGTAGGGGTGGGTCTCTGGGGTCCACAGTGTTCTAGGCTCCTGGGACTGCAGGGCCCTGGCTAGTTGTGGGGCCTCCCACCCTAGTAGGGGCCCCTGGGGTGCCCCTCTAGATGTTTAACTTTTATGTGATTCACTTACTGGGGCTTCCTCAGGTCCTCAGCCACCCACACTTCTTTCCTCATTTGCATGGAAGCTAATGGAGCTCCTTCTGGCTCTCCCCACTCTCCAGGGGTCAAATCCACAAGCCTAGCTCTGGGCCTGTGGAGATCTTACCTCAAGCCTCCAGATCCCCCAGAAGGCAGAGCTGCTGAGCTGCCAAGAAGTCAGCTGAAGTAGTCTGGCTAGCTCTGCCACCTCCCCCATAAAAAATCCAGACCTCTCAGCAGCAGGAAGGGGATGTGGGATGGACTTTCTGAGGGTGTACCATACTTCACCTGGGAATTCACCTGGAAATTGGGGCGACTGCTTCTGTTGGGAGGGAAGGTAGGGACTGGGCGCAAAGGCATTGAAACTTGGAACTTTGGATGGTCTGAATTAGATCTCAGCCTGCATCTGAGCAGGAGGAAGCCTCCTTGGGAAACTGAGTTCTGGGGCACTTGGCTGCAGGCAAGATTCTGTGAAGCCGAAGACCTCTCTGTGGCATGCTGGACAGATCCTTCCTCTGCCCTGGCCCGGCTTGTTGCCACAGCCTCTTGTTCTCCCTTCCATAGGCTACCTGAAGGGACTGCACCTTAATGACATGAGGGCAAAGTTGCAATTTCGAAACCTTTGTATTGAAGACTTCCTCCTTGTCCTGACCGAGGAGTGTCATCAGGGAAGCCTGCCTTTCCTCATTGTATCAACAAAGCTTTCTCTTGTCCACCTTTGCTTAGCCAGAATTGCCTGCTACAGTGACTTCACCCGCTATTACAGGACGGAGGCCTCTCTCAGCTGGGGATGCGGGGAGGGTTACAAATGTAAATATGGTGGGAGAGGCTACTGGGTGCTGGGAACCACACTAGATGAGCAATGGCCATCAGTAGGCTTGGGGCTGGGTAACAGGCTGATTGGGGACTTGGTCTTGGGGACCCAAATGCGGATCTTCTCCATGTCCTTTCATTCCCCCATTTCACAGTGAGTCAGGTTTCTGAGTTGTCTGATCTGGCCACTTTCATTTCCCCTGGGGCTGGGTGGAGGCTGATACAGAAAGGGGAACTGAGCCACCAGTTTTCTGAGGCCCAGGGGCAGAGCTGGGAGCTCTCGCACTCTCCCTGTCCCAGCCCGGAGCTGGACACTACTCTGAGGGGAAGCCTTCAGATGGAGACTCCTTAGTAGCCTAGAGGTGGCACTTAGCAGTACAATCCAAAAACATACTGGGCAGGGTATTTCAGGAGAAACTGAGGCTCAGTGCCCCAAGGTTGAAGCATTCCTGGAACAATGGGGTCCAGGCCCGAGCAATAACCTTGGCTTGAGTACCCTCAGAAGCTGGTTGCTCTCGGCCCCATAGACCACAGCCCAGCCTTTGGTTGGATAGCTTCAGCTGTTAGAAAGTTCTTCAACTTGGGTCTAGTCTGCCTCAGTGGAGGCTGTCCTAGTGTTAGCTCAAACCCTAGTCCCTTTTTCTCATGGTGGTGCCTCAGACGTTAAGGATGGCTCTCATTCCCACCTACTAACCCAGATGCGCCATTTCCCCAGCCATTCCTCCCCTGACCGGCCTGCCCCTGTGGACCCTCACCTGTGTCCCGGGCCCGGCAGCCTTCTTCTTGGGTCGGGCTCATCCCCCTTTGAGTCAGAGGAGGATCCGGAGAGAGCAGGGCTGGTGGGGGGGGGAAACAGCTGGAGGACAGAATGTTTCCAGCATCTGGGGTGTATCAGTTGGCTAATAAGAAAGTTCTACTGTGGTCCAGCAAAAAGAGGGTGCCAGGGGTGTTAGTGTGGAAGGAGGAAAGAGTGGGAGACACTCCCGCCCTTGAGGGGAAGGTAAACAAGATGGTGGGGGAGGGGGCAGTGCGAGGCTGAGTGCGAACCCAAACCACTCACTAATCTCAGCCAGGAGAGCTCATGCTGCTCCGGAGGGCAGAGTGTGAGAGCTGGGTGCCCCCCACAGGGGTAAGTGTTGGCACCTGTCTTCATATCACCCTGGTTCCAGGCAGCAGGGCCTCCGGGAATGCCCCCCTGCCTACCCCAATCCTATGCCTCCCTCATTGCTACCGCCCCTCTCCTTACTTGTGGAGGGTCTTCTGAGAGGCCAGAGGTACCAAGGAAGTGGAAGAGAGGCATGGTCCCGGGGGCAGTGCGCGCCCTACTCACACATGCAGGGCAAGAAGAAAGCTATACAATGAGCAGAATCAGCTGGAGACTCGCTTCAGCCTGACCCCATGGAGCCCTGGAGCACATGGTACACCAGTCTGCTCCTCCTGGGGACACCAGGGGACTGGCCTTTTGTCCCCCTGGGTCAGTGACTCATGGACTGGGGGCTGACCCCCCAGAGGGGAGGGCTTAGCCTGGAGTGAGGTAGCTGAGGGCATTTCTCTGAGCTTCCGTGCCATGCCACCCTCATGGTGGCGGGGGACATGATGTCCCGTCTGGGTGGAGTGAAGCACCTGCCACATGCCCTACAGCTGTAAGCCCCCTCCTTCCTTTCCACACAAAGCACAGATGCAGTCCCCCAATTAGAAAACTTTCGGTTGGGAAAGGAAATTGGCTTTGGGCACCTGGACAGATGAGGGGCTCCAGTCCCGAGGGCTGGGAGGAGGGGAAGGCCCTACAGGCCCCTGGCGTGGCCCCTGGGGACCCTCACGTCCCCCTGCCTCAGGGAGAGGCTTACTGTAAACTTGCTGATGCTCCCCCTCTGCCTTTCCCCTGCAGACTCCTTTGCCATGAACCAGTCTGCCCCCAAGGCCCCCCCTCCAACCCGCCGTGTGCGGCTGAAGCCCTGGCTGGTGGCCCAGGTGAACAGCTGCCAGTACCCAGGGCTTCAGTGGGTCAATGGGGAAAGGAAATTCTTCTACATTCCCTGGCGCCATGCCACACGGCACGGCCCTAGCCAGGATGGAGATAACACCATCTTCAAGGTAAGCCTGGGGCAGGAAGGGGTGCTGCCTGAATCTCTCCAGGACCCCCCCCCATCTCAAGCAGCCCCTCTCCCCGCTGCGCTGGTGCAGGTGGCCCCAGGCCTGGTCTGAGGGGAGGCAGGACTATCACAGGGTATAGACACTTTTTTTAAGCCTGATGCTCAGAGCAAGGTTGGGCTGAAGGGCCCCCAGGAGACCTGTAACTCCTCTTCCCGCTCCTTGTTCTTGTCTTCTTCTCATGACACGTGGGTACATGTGCAGCGCACAGGTTTGGTGTACATGTACGCTAAGAGAAGACTACAGAATTCCCCCATAATCTTAATGCTGGGAGGTAAATACTATCAGTATCTTTTGCTCATATTTTTGATTTTCTGCATGCATGTGTATAATGAAATGTAAAAATGGAATCAAACCATATATTCTCATTTATAACCTGCATTTTTCACCCAACATTAGGGCCAGCTTCCCTTTCCAACACATGCCATGTCACTTTTAGTGACCACTGAATGTTGTATTGGAGGAACATTAGCACAGGTTAGCCACCCAGGCCCAGTGTGTGGACACTTCAGAGTGCTCCCAATGTCTCACTGCTGAAGACCACATCGCCGTGCACACCTTCTAAATGTCTTAACTCTTTACACATCTGGAGGTATTTTCTTGAAGGTTATTTCCTAGAGTTAAACATTGCTGGAAAAAGAATCCTTATCTTTAAAACGTTGGAGATGCATTTCTTAGGCTTTGCCCTTCATACTTACCTTCTCAAGATTTTTTTTAAATTTATTTTTTTCTGTTTGAATAGGTAATATGGTCACACAATTCAAAATGAAGCAAGTGGTTTACATCAAAGTCTCCCACCCGCTCCTGTCCCCAGCCACCCACCCCCTCTCTAGTGGCAATTAGTATGATCGGTTTGTTTATCCTTCCAGAAATTTTTGTGTGTATACGAAGATATACCACTTTTCACAAATGGAAGATGTATACACACTCTTGTGCACCTTATGTTTCTTAAAGATCATGACATGTGTGTCAGCATATCAAAAGCTTCCTCTTTTTTTTTTTTCGCTGCTCAGTATTCCATTCTAAAGACTGGCCATAATTTTTTTTATATCATTAATGTACAGTTACTTGAACAACATTATGGTTACTAGACTCCCCCCATTATCAAGTCCCCACCACATACCCCATTACAGTCACTGTCCATCAGCATAGTAAGATGCTATAGAGTCATTACTTGTCTTCTCTGTATATACTGCCTTTCCCGTGTCCCCCCCCCCATATTATGTGTGCTAATAGTAATACCCATTTCCCCCCTTATCCCTCCCTTCCCACCCACCCTCCCCAGTCCCTTTCCCTTTGGTAACTGTTAGTCCACAGTCCATTCTTGGAGTCCATTCTGTGTCTGCTGCTGTTTTGTTAAGACTGGCCATAATTTAACCAGCCTCCCTTGATGAACATTTAGTTATTTTGGGTCTTTTGCTTTTACAAACAGTGCTGTGATGAATAACCTTGGATGTGATGAATTTTGTGTGAATGCTTCTGTATCTGTAGGATAAACTAGAATTGCTGGGTTAAAGGGTAGAAACATTTATAGTTCTGATTATCAACCAACTGCCCAAATAATAATAGCAACAGCTGAAGTGTACAGAGCCGCTTCTAAGAGGAGGCACAGCCCTGAGAGCTATATGGACTCTTGAGTCTTTCTTCACTCTCCTTGAGCCTTCATTTCCACCCTAGGAGGTGGGCACTATGATGGGAGATCAAAGCAAAGAGGGGCAAAGTGACATGTCCCTGGCACATAGCCGGTGGGTGGCAGGTTCTGGATTCAAGACCCAGTAACACTCCAAATCCCATGCTCTTATCCACCATGCTACACCATCCTCCTTAGAGACTGAACCTATTTACCTCGCAGGAGCAGTGAATGCAATGCCTTTCTAAGACCTGGGGCTCCCTTTAGCCTGTCAAGCCTCGAGGGCTGGAAGAACTGGCATCTATCTCCTGCCTTGTAGAGGGCATGGACTTGGCCTGCACAGTGTGTCACCGAAGGTCTCGTCACACAGCCATGACTCCCATTGGCCAGAAGGGATTGGGGCTTTCGTGGGGGCGAGGTTCTCTGTGGTCGCCTGTCTTCTCTTCCTGACCCAGGCCTGGGCCACGGAGACGGGGAAGTACACCGAGGGGGTGGATGAGGCTGACCCAGCCAAGTGGAAGGCCAACCTGCGCTGTGCCCTTAACAAGAGCCGTGACTTCCGCCTCATCTATGACGGGCCCCGGGAGATGCCACCTCAGCCCTACAAGATCTATGAGGTCTGCTCCAGTGGCCCTGCTCCCGCAGGTATCATGCCCGGCCTGGTTTGGGCCATCAAGGAGGCTGGCAGGAAGACCCAGGGCCCCCCCAGTGTGCAGTGGTTGGGGATATTCTGCTAAGTCATAACGCCCATGGCTCCCAGGAACCTGGAAGGGCCATCTGTGGGGCCGGGAATGGCTTGGCAAGCCCAGGGCCCCAGGTGCACCTTGCGCAGCCTGCTCTGTTCTTGCTTCTTGACTCCAGTGGGTGCAGGTCTGGTAGCCAGGGAGCTGGGGTTGGGGAGGTCCCAGTGATTCCTGCTGGGTGTGCGGCCCTTCACCTCACTCCGTGTGTGGGCAGCTTTCTTTTGTCTCCCTCGCTTTGCAGAGTCACAGCCCAGTGAGGATTGCACTTTTGGTGCAGGAGAGGAGGAGGAGGAGGAGGAAGAGGAAGAGGTGAGCTCAGGGCCGTTCTTCCAGGGTCTGCCCACGCGGATGCGGTGGGCCTGGCGAGGGCGCTCCTGCTGAGGATAGGAACCACCTTGAACCTCACTGGGGCTATGTTAGTACAAAATACGCTCACATGTTAAAACAAAACATGTTGTCTGGCTGACCTGCACAGTGGTCAGGGCTGAGTAGGTATTAGCTGCAGAGGGCAGACGTGGAAATCGAGGTGCTAAGAGCTCGCTGACCTGCCTGGGACGGCAGAGCTGGGACTGGAGGCAGGGTCTGGCCTCCGCCAAGCTTGCGGCTGGGGAACTGCCTGTGGCTCTCACGTGCTGTTTCTTTAGCAACAGATCAATTTGATAACCTGTCCTCCCTTCTCTCTCTCTGGCCTCTTCCCTCCTCCTTTGCCTGTGTCTTCCCTTCAGCTCCAGAGGATGTTACCAAGCCTGAGCCTCACAGGTGGGGCTGGGAGCTGGTGTGGTTGGGGGCCTAGTGTAAGGAGAACCTGCAGGTACCATAGGTACCAGGGAGGGGGCTGACTGGAGGCCGGGGAGAGGGCCAGGCCTGGGAGCAGGTGGGGCTTGGGAGGCAGTTCCTAGAAGTGGCATTAAAGCTCTGTTCACCCAACCCTCTGTAGAAGCAGTACAGCATGGCACCCCCATAGCACCTTATTCTTTACCCAAAGAGGATGTCAAGTGGCCACCCACTCTCCAGCCGCCTGTGGTGCTGGGCACCCCTGCTCCAGACCCCAGCCTTCTGGGCTCTGCCTCTTGTGACCCTGTTGGATTTGGGGAGCTTCTCCCTGAGGTCCTGCCGAGCCTGCAGCCCGGGCCCCTGGCTGTCAGCCTGCCCCCAACCAGCGAACAACTCCTGCCTGACCTACTGATCAGCCCCCACATGCTGCCTCGTAAGGACCCATGGGTGGGCAGGGTAAAGCAGTGCTGGAGGGTTGGTTTGCAGGGAGAGTGGAGGATGGCAAGAAGAGAAGAGCAAAGATACCCCTGCCGGCCCCTTCTTGGGTTGGGGTAAGTAAGTGGGAGAGCTGAGAGACAAGCAGGCTGCTGGGCAGAGAGGGCAGAGAAAAGTCAGTGGGGTGCAGAATGGGGAGGCGAGGGGCTCACAGACTGGCTGGGTCTGCGTTTTACCCCACAGTGACCGACCTGGAGATCAAGTTCCAGTACCGGGGGCGGCCACCTCGGGCCCTCACCATCAGCAACCCACAGGGCTGCCGGCTCTTTTATAGCCAGCTCGAGGCCACTCAGGAGCAGGTGGAGCTCTTTGGCCCTGTGAGCCTGGAGCAAGTACGTTTCCCCAGCCCTGAGGACATCCCTAGCGACAAGCAGCGCTTCTACACGAACCAGCTACTCGATGTCCTGGACCGTGGGCTCATCCTCCAGCTACAAGGCCAGGATCTGTATGCCATCCGCCTGTGCCAGTGCAAGGTGTTCTGGAGCGGGCCCTGTGCTTCAGCCCATGGCTCACAACCCAACCCCATCCAGCGGGAGGTCAAGACCAAGCTCTTCAGCCTGGAGCATTTTCTCAATGGTGAGGGCCCCACTTCCTGATCCTCCAGCCTTCTCTCATCCAGGGGCACAGCCATGGCCTCTGATGAAGGGTCTTAATCTCGCTGTAGAGCTCATCCTATTCCAGAAGGGCCAGACCAACACCCCACCACCTTTTGAGATCTTCTTTTGCTTTGGGGAGGAGTGGCCTGACCGCAAACCCCGAGAGAAGAAGCTTATCACCGTACAGGTATACCATCATCTCCATCCCAGGTCAGCTTTGGCTGGAATATAAGGGAATCCTGGGGCTAGGCCCTTCCCAGGGCTCTTTGGGCAGTGTGAACTTGGTGACCAGAGATAATCAAGGCCTAGGGCTGTTCACACATAAGTGGCCTTTGTACAAAGTAGAAATTGGTGCCCCTTCTTCCTGATGGATGTTGTCACTCCCCACCCATGGGCAGATGCCCTTGTGCACAACTGGTTTTGGCAGCTTGGCCAAGGTTCTCCCTGTCCTGTCTCCTCTTTGCCCCCCAGGTTGTGCCTGTAGCAGCTCGGTTGCTGCTGGAGATGTTCTCAGGGGAGCTTTCTTGGTCAGCTGATAGTATCCGGCTACAGATCTCAAACCCAGACCTCAAAGACCACATGGTGGAACAATTCAAGGAGCTCCATCATATCTGGCAGTCGCAGCAGCGCTTGCAGCCTGTGGCCCAAGCTCCTCCTGTGCCAGGCCTTGGTGCTGGCCAGGGGCCCTGGCCCATGCACCCTGTTGGCATGCAATAATAGGGCTGCATATAGTGATTGGCCCAGGCTTCTGGGATGGGTGTGCAGACTGATGTGGAGTTGTGACAGTCCCAGGGCACCTGACTGGCTGAAGGGTCCTATCTGGGTCTTCTGGAAGTGGATCTGGGCCCAGAAGGAGAGGGAAGAGAGGCCCAAGTGCCCAGTTCTGTCGACAGACGCTGAGGGAAGCTGGGAGTATTTTGCTTCAAGGGCTGTCTTCCTGCGTGTCCCTCTACTCTGCGAGCATTGGCCCACTGGCCCTGGAGGCATATAGCCATCAGTGCCAGTGAGAGGGAGAGGAAGCCCTGACCCTGGTTGCACAGAGGGCACTGCCCCAGAGCAGCCTACTCTTGTGGTTGCCCCCATTTCCTCTAAGAGTGGAGTGCTGTGGGCCAGGGACACCCTCCCTCTGCTCCCCACAGGGCCTTTGCTGGGCATGGGCCTGATTTGGGGGTCTAGTTTTGAGTTTTGCTTGCTTCATCTTTCTCCTGAGATAGATATGGGCACTTGGATATTATACCAGATACTTAAGGCTGGCAGCTACCTCCCTCCTTGAGACTCCAAGAACCTGGGGTAAAGTGGAGTTTTATGTATTTTTGGATTAATAAATGTTCAAAATAGATTCAGCTATTTACTTTTTCAGTACTTCTTCCATGCTCTTCTCCCAGACCCTAGTTCTGAGGCCAGCTGGCCCTTTCCCCCAGCACCTGCCCTCCATCTCTGGGGCCACCGACACAGGGAGGGCCTCCCTGCCTCCCAGGTGGGTGAATCGGTGGGGCCTTCAAGCACTCACCTGGCTGGCTTTGCTTTCCAGGAGGAAGCTGCCTGAAACAAGGATGAGGAGTTTTACATGTGTGCAGAGTCAAAAATTCTATCCAAATCAATTTTCCCGTAAGAAATGGTGAAAAATGGAAGGGTGCATATTTAAACTACACTTAGGGCCATTATTACTCATTATCCTCATGTATATTCATATGCTATTAAATATACTAGGATAATACATGCAAACTAGTAGCTTATCATTTGAATGTGGCTCACAGATGCACTGGCCTGTGCAGGTGTGAACAATTTTATCTTTTTATCATGGAAGACTAAACATTTGCGGAAATAGGGAGAATGATATGAAAGCCCCATATAGTAGCTTGGACAATTAAATTCATAGTCAGTCTTTCTCATCTAAACTCCCATCTATACCCCTATCCTGAGATTATTCTGAAACAAGTTCTAGACATAACATTTCATGTGTAAACAGCATAGCTCTAAAAGACAAGCATATTCTAAAAAACAAAACCACAGTATCATCACAACTATGTGAAGAAATTCATTTGATCAACTATCTAGTGTTTAAAAATTTAGGACAGGTTTTATTCCCTTGTAATCTAATTGTTGAAGAAGCTGCAACAATTAGATCTGCGTTTTGGTTTTGCCAGGAGCTGCTGATTGCATTTCTGTTAACATACTTTGACTCATGTACTTCCTGTGAATTGGTACTTTGATCTAGATTCTGGATTCTTAGGTTTTTGATACCTACTAGTATTTGAGTTATTTCCATTTTTAGTTATTGTACATACGCTGCAGTGAATAGACTTGGGTGTACTTAACATCTTTTCATGATTTTGCCACTGTATCTCTGGGATGAATCCAAAAGATAAATGTGTAATTTTGCTAGATTTTGACAAAGTCCTGATAAATTTATGAGTGTGCCTGCCTCCCCACAATATCAACAGACTACATTGTCAATTATTAGGATTTTTGCCAACCTGACAGATGAGAAATAGTATCTCAGTGCCATTTCTCATTATGAGCAAGGCTGGGCAACTTCATATGGTTAAGTGGCCTGTGCAGATTTAAAAAAACATAAACAATTTTAGAATTGTTTTAGACTTAGATTTACAGAAACGTTGCGAATAGAGTCCCTACATACCCCATACCCAGTTTCTCCAATTGTGAACACCTTACATTACTATGGTACATTTGTTACAACTAATGAAACACTGAATGCATTAACTAAGTTCTATTCTTTATTCAGATTTCACTTTTTAATCTAATATCCTTTTTCTGTTCTAGGATCCCATCTAAGTTTCAACAGCTGAAGTGTACAGAGCCGCTTCTAAGAGGAGGCACAGCCCTGAGAGCTATATGGACTCTTGAGTCTTTCTTCACTCTCCTTGAGCCTTCATTTCCACCCTAGGAGGTGGGCACTATGATGGGAGATCAAAGCAAAGAGGGGCAAAGTGACATGTCCCTGGCACATAGCCGGTGGGTGGCAGGTTCTGGATTCAAGACCCAGTAACACTCCAAATCCCATGCTCTTATCCACCATGCTACACCATCCTCCTTAGAGACTGAACCTATTTACCTCGCAGGAGCAGTGAATGCAATGCCTTTCTAAGACCTGGGGCTCCCTTTAGCCTGTCAAGCCTCGAGGGCTGGAAGAACTGGCATCTATCTCCTGCCTTGTAGAGGGCATGGACTTGGCCTGCACAGTGTGTCACCGAAGGTCTCGTCACACAGCCATGACTCCCATTGGCCAGAAGGGATTGGGGCTTTCGTGGGGGCGAGGTTCTCTGTGGTCGCCTGTCTTCTCTTCCTGACCCAGGCCTGGGCCACGGAGACGGGGAAGTACACCGAGGGGGTGGATGAGGCTGACCCAGCCAAGTGGAAGGCCAACCTGCGCTGTGCCCTTAACAAGAGCCGTGACTTCCGCCTCATCTATGACGGGCCCCGGGAGATGCCACCTCAGCCCTACAAGATCTATGAGGTCTGCTCCAGTGGCCCTGCTCCCGCAGGTATCATGCCCGGCCTGGTTTGGGCCATCAAGGAGGCTGGCAGGAAGACCCAGGGCCCCCCCAGTGTGCAGTGGTTGGGGATATTCTGCTAAGTCATAACGCCCATGGCTCCCAGGAACCTGGAAGGGCCATCTGTGGGGCCGGGAATGGCTTGGCAAGCCCAGGGCCCCAGGTGCACCTTGCGCAGCCTGCTCTGTTCTTGCTTCTTGACTCCAGTGGGTGCAGGTCTGGTAGCCAGGGAGCTGGGGTTGGGGAGGTCCCAGTGATTCCTGCTGGGTGTGCGGCCCTTCACCTCACTCCGTGTGTGGGCAGCTTTCTTTTGTCTCCCTCGCTTTGCAGAGTCACAGCCCAGTGAGGATTGCACTTTTGGTGCAGGAGAGGAGGAGGAGGAGGAGGAAGAGGAAGAGGTGAGCTCAGGGCCGTTCTTCCAGGGTCTGCCCACGCGGATGCGGTGGGCCTGGCGAGGGCGCTCCTGCTGAGGATAGGAACCACCTTGAACCTCACTGGGGCTATGTTAGTACAAAATACGCTCACATGTTAAAACAAAACATGTTGTCTGGCTGACCTGCACAGTGGTCAGGGCTGAGTAGGTATTAGCTGCAGAGGGCAGACGTGGAAATCGAGGTGCTAAGAGCTCGCTGACCTGCCTGGGACGGCAGAGCTGGGACTGGAGGCAGGGTCTGGCCTCCGCCAAGCTTGCGGCTGGGGAACTGCCTGTGGCTCTCACGTGCTGTTTCTTTAGCAACAGATCAATTTGATAACCTGTCCTCCCTTCTCTCTCTCTGGCCTCTTCCCTCCTCCTTTGCCTGTGTCTTCCCTTCAGCTCCAGAGGATGTTACCAAGCCTGAGCCTCACAGGTGGGGCTGGGAGCTGGTGTGGTTGGGGGCCTAGTGTAAGGAGAACCTGCAGGTACCATAGGTACCAGGGAGGGGGCTGACTGGAGGCCGGGGAGAGGGCCAGGCCTGGGAGCAGGTGGGGCTTGGGAGGCAGTTCCTAGAAGTGGCATTAAAGCTCTGTTCACCCAACCCTCTGTAGAAGCAGTACAGCATGGCACCCCCATAGCACCTTATTCTTTACCCAAAGAGGATGTCAAGTGGCCACCCACTCTCCAGCCGCCTGTGGTGCTGGGCACCCCTGCTCCAGACCCCAGCCTTCTGGGCTCTGCCTCTTGTGACCCTGTTGGATTTGGGGAGCTTCTCCCTGAGGTCCTGCCGAGCCTGCAGCCCGGGCCCCTGGCTGTCAGCCTGCCCCCAACCAGCGAACAACTCCTGCCTGACCTACTGATCAGCCCCCACATGCTGCCTCGTAAGGACCCATGGGTGGGCAGGGTAAAGCAGTGCTGGAGGGTTGGTTTGCAGGGAGAGTGGAGGATGGCAAGAAGAGAAGAGCAAAGATACCCCTGCCGGCCCCTTCTTGGGTTGGGGTAAGTAAGTGGGAGAGCTGAGAGACAAGCAGGCTGCTGGGCAGAGAGGGCAGAGAAAAGTCAGTGGGGTGCAGAATGGGGAGGCGAGGGGCTCACAGACTGGCTGGGTCTGCGTTTTACCCCACAGTGACCGACCTGGAGATCAAGTTCCAGTACCGGGGGCGGCCACCTCGGGCCCTCACCATCAGCAACCCACAGGGCTGCCGGCTCTTTTATAGCCAGCTCGAGGCCACTCAGGAGCAGGTGGAGCTCTTTGGCCCTGTGAGCCTGGAGCAAGTACGTTTCCCCAGCCCTGAGGACATCCCTAGCGACAAGCAGCGCTTCTACACGAACCAGCTACTCGATGTCCTGGACCGTGGGCTCATCCTCCAGCTACAAGGCCAGGATCTGTATGCCATCCGCCTGTGCCAGTGCAAGGTGTTCTGGAGCGGGCCCTGTGCTTCAGCCCATGGCTCACAACCCAACCCCATCCAGCGGGAGGTCAAGACCAAGCTCTTCAGCCTGGAGCATTTTCTCAATGGTGAGGGCCCCACTTCCTGATCCTCCAGCCTTCTCTCATCCAGGGGCACAGCCATGGCCTCTGATGAAGGGTCTTAATCTCGCTGTAGAGCTCATCCTATTCCAGAAGGGCCAGACCAACACCCCACCACCTTTTGAGATCTTCTTTTGCTTTGGGGAGGAGTGGCCTGACCGCAAACCCCGAGAGAAGAAGCTTATCACCGTACAGGTATACCATCATCTCCATCCCAGGTCAGCTTTGGCTGGAATATAAGGGAATCCTGGGGCTAGGCCCTTCCCAGGGCTCTTTGGGCAGTGTGAACTTGGTGACCAGAGATAATCAAGGCCTAGGGCTGTTCACACATAAGTGGCCTTTGTACAAAGTAGAAATTGGTGCCCCTTCTTCCTGATGGATGTTGTCACTCCCCACCCATGGGCAGATGCCCTTGTGCACAACTGGTTTTGGCAGCTTGGCCAAGGTTCTCCCTGTCCTGTCTCCTCTTTGCCCCCCAGGTTGTGCCTGTAGCAGCTCGGTTGCTGCTGGAGATGTTCTCAGGGGAGCTTTCTTGGTCAGCTGATAGTATCCGGCTACAGATCTCAAACCCAGACCTCAAAGACCACATGGTGGAACAATTCAAGGAGCTCCATCATATCTGGCAGTCGCAGCAGCGCTTGCAGCCTGTGGCCCAAGCTCCTCCTGTGCCAGGCCTTGGTGCTGGCCAGGGGCCCTGGCCCATGCACCCTGTTGGCATGCAATAATAGGGCTGCATATAGTGATTGGCCCAGGCTTCTGGGATGGGTGTGCAGACTGATGTGGAGTTGTGACAGTCCCAGGGCACCTGACTGGCTGAAGGGTCCTATCTGGGTCTTCTGGAAGTGGATCTGGGCCCAGAAGGAGAGGGAAGAGAGGCCCAAGTGCC